GATGCTGATCACCACAGCACGTGGGGGAACTGGCTGGTGGGAGCTTCAGAGCAGTAGCACAGCAACAAGGGGAGGGGAAGCAGCACACAAAGTGTCCTGACAGAAAGCCACTTTCTTTGGCACCAACTCGACTTTCTTGCAAAACAGCAGCTGTGCTTTCACTGCAGGGTCACTGATAACATCACCCAGAAACACAGGCTGCTCAGAGCCTTTGCACCACACACAACTCCGGGCACAGGGGTTTGGCAGCAAATGTGGGCCCCATGGACACAGCCCTGTGAATGCTGAGAGCGAGGACCAGGCTGGGATCTGGCCTGGGCAGGAAGGATTGGTGGAGAGAAGCCTCTGGGTGCTCAGGGGAGATAACATCTCTCAGAGGGGGCTGCTCCCTCCACTGCCTCCTAAGGGCAGGATGATAACAGGATAACAACAGTCTGACAGACACACTCAGGGGGCATTAACTCTTTTGGTGCTGAGAGTGGCTTTAAAGGCATCAGCAGCTTCCCCACTGGGCAAGGCCAGCACCACCTTCAGCCTCACAGATGTGGGATCAAGGTCTGGCTGACTCCACCTTTCCCATCCCTCTTTCCTGCCTTTCTCCCTGCACTGGAGGGAGGGGCCCTGCAGAGCCAGCTCAGTGAGGTGCAGCAGCAGCTCAGCCCAGCTGAGCTCTGGGGCTGTGGCAGCTCAGACATGAGGGCTGTGGAAAGCCCCGGCAGCGCTCGGGTCCTGCACACACAGAGCAAACAAACCCCACAGCTCGGCTCCAACCCACACAGCTGCTCCACAGAACCTAAACCAGCTCAGAGCTCCGTGGCCATCACAAGGCTGAGCCTCCCCTGGGCCAGCAGGAGAGAGGCAGCACGAGCAGCAGCAAATGCAGGGCTGGAAGGTCAGAGCCCAGGGGGTCAGTCCCACCCCACTGCCTCAGGCACAGGCTGCTCACCCTGACACACATCAGCTGGGTTTGTCCATGTGGCAGCAGGTCCCACACAGCTGCTGGTGGCCACGGGAGTGACCAGGAGCAGCACAGTGCAGGATCCAGCCACGGCACAGCCCCAGAGCCTGGCTTAGCCCAGCTGGGCTCAGGGACAGAGGGGTCTCTGCCATGTCCCAGCATGAGCTGAGCACCAGCACCCACCCACCCCAACACCACCCACCCACCCCAACACTGCTCTGCTGCTCAGCGAGGCAGCTTAGACTGAGCTCAGCTGAGCCAAGGTGAGGTTTAGCAGCCAACACACCCCCTGACCCCTGGCTTGCCTGAATGTACCAGGTGCACTCTGTCTGCTGGCAACCCCCCCAAATCTGCCTTGATGGAGAACCACAGAATCTCCTGAGCTAGGAGGCACCCACAAGGATCATCCAGTCCAACTCCTGGCCCTGCAGACACCCCAACAATCCCACCCTGTCCCTCAGAGCGTTGTCCAAACGCTCCTGGAGCTCTGGCAGCCTTGGGGCTGTGCCCACTGCCCTGGGGAGCCTGGGCAGTGCCCAACCAGCCTCTGGGGGAAGAACCTTTGGCTGAGCTCCAACCTGAGCCTGCCCTGACACAGCTCCAGCTGCTCCTGTGAGTGAGACTCAAGCTGGCCAAGCTTTGGCTCCAGACCCAGGTGTCCAGGGCTGGCCCTCCCTGCAGCCATGGAAACGGAACTTCACCAACTCCAGAGCAATCACATTTCTCCTTCAAAGGAAAGATAAGAAAATTGCATCAACCTCTATCTGAGCAACCATGGCAACTTGTCAAACTAGGTCAAGATGTGGGGGCAGATAAGGCAGCTTTGAGAAGCTCTCGGAGCTGGTGAAGAACACATCAAACCCCAAGAACACATCAAACCCCAAGAACACATCAAACCCCAAGAACACACCAAACCCCAACAGAGCTTCCGCCAAAATGCACCTTCTCAGCCCAGGCTGCGCCTCCCGGGGCAGATACCATCAGAGATGTGCTGTGACAGGGCACTGGGCCACCTCCCTGGGCCACCACCACGAAAACAGGGCCCTGGTAACAAAACCTGACAAATATTGTCGAGTTCTCAACCCCCAGAAAGCCCTGGAGATGTGATGGCCCAGCCCCACAGGGTGCCTTTGGGTGCTGGGTGTGGGCTTGAGGAATCCGCTGAGGGGGAAATGGAACATGAGGGTCGTGTTTGGGGGCCCTGGGCTGTCAATCCCCTGCTCTGCTCGTTCGGAGGCTCCACCTCCTCCCCAGAGCCACAGCCAGAGCCCAGACACCGAGTTCCTCCGCTGGAGCTGCGAGACAGCACTTCCTCCCCCAGTGAAGTAAAAGGAGTGCAGAGCAAAGCAAAGAAAGCACCAAAAGCTCTGCCTGAGTCCCCCCCTCCTTGCTTAGCCAGCCCAAGACAGCCTCCAGCAGTTCTGGGCAGCCTGAGTGGCATTTTTTGGCAGAAATGCATCAGCACAGAGTTTGAGAGTGCCCAGTTCTCCTCCAGTTTGTGACACAACACGTCCTCACTCGCTCTTGCTGCTCTCACAGCTACCCAGCTCTGCTCTGCACCCACCCTTGGCACAGAAAGCTGAAGGTGTTGACGGGCCAGAGGGCTTGGAAAGGGTCAGAGGACACCTCTGGAGTCACCTGCCTGCAGAGATCACCTGCCCAGAGCCCATTCCCAATGGCAAAGGGGATGTGGTTGTACAAGGACTGAATATTGTTCAGCAGCCTTTGGAGAGAGCAAGCAGAGCCCCAGCCCAAGGATTTCTGAGTGATCCTGGATTTTCCTCTCCACATTTAAAGTCTCTCAAGTGAATCAGTGCAAATATAAATACAAAATCAGGCGTTCCCACTTATTGATCCCACAGAAGTGCCTGGGCCAAGGGATGTTCTTCTCAGCTCAAAGGGGGGCTTTAAATGAGGTGAGGGAAAATGTTACACTGCACAGAGGGTTTGGAATTGTGCTCTGGCATTGCAGGAACCCAAGTCCCCCCTTCCTGGTGGCACCAGGCCAAGGACAGCCTTTGGGGTGCTGCTATTCCTTGGAAAAGCACAGGGTCCAGCTCTGACTTCAGCTCCTGCCTCTCTGCGGGGGTGGTTCTTTTCCACTCTTTTCCATCAGCTACAGCAAATGTGGAGGGAAACATCCAGCTTGGAAAACAAGAGCTCCTAGTCCTGCCAGCACCTCTGTGCCTCAGTTTCCCCAGATGTTAAAATTCATCCAGTGCTCCTTCCCAGGCACTGGATACCCAAAGCACTTCCAAAGGAATTGCTGGGAGAAAATGGGAATAAAAATTGCAAGTCGTGGTCCTTGGTCTCTTTTTTCAGGAACAGCAATTTCCATGGCACAGCAGAGGATAAGAACCTGGGCATGGTCCCTCCTACCCCTCCTGCCTCTTCCCACCACACCCCCCGAGCCAAAATCCTTTCAGGAACAGCAGAGCACACTCATATTTTGTATAGACTTTGTATCTATTTTGTATAGACTTGGTCTCATGGAGCAGGCAGGGCTGAGCTCTCTTTCTAACTAAAGCTATAGCAACAAACCACTTCCTTTTCTGCACTCCTAAAATTATCTCCCCACCTCTCCTTCCTCCTACCCCTCTCCCCACCCTCACGAAAAGCTCGAGATCAGCCCCAAGATGAGCCGAGCGTGGGAGGAGATTCAGGGACAGTCACACCTCAGGATCTGCTCTGAACCTGCTGATCCTTATCTGCACAAACTCTTTCCACCCAGCTGGGGCAGGAGAGATCAGCGTGTGCAGAGCAAGGGGAGCTGGCAGGAGCTGCCCTGAGTTCCACTCGGAGCACAGGGAAAAGCCATGGAAAGATGAGCTCAGTTTTAGCTGGAAGCCCCATCCCATCTCCGTGGAGATGCCAGGCTGCTGCAGGGCTGTCTCACCACAGGAGTTTCCATGGCCTATCACCTCCTCATCTCTCCCAGATGAGAATGGAAAATGTTTGGGACTGCTTTGGCACCATCCCAGCCCTGCCTCACACCAAGGTACGGAGCAAAAGCAAGGGATTCCCTGTGCCAGAAGGGGAGAGGATCATTCCCATCCCACCCAGCAGTGCTGGGGATGCAGCTGCTCCTGCCTGAGGGGGGAACCAGGAGTGGCCAACAGAGTGTCAGAGGGGGAATGTGGGCTCTCTGCCACCCTGTGCTCCAGGGATCCAAGCAGACACCAGCTCCTTCCAGCCCCAGCCAGGTGGGAATGGAACAGCAGGTCTTCCCTCAGCCAGGTCCCACGTCCTGCAGGAGCTGTGGGATGCCCACCCTCAGAGGAGCTGCAGCCCTGGGGGGCTCTGTGCTCTCAGAGGTGCCTGAGGCATGGGGCTGAGCCCAGAGACCCCCAAACCCTCCCTCACAGCCCAATAAACACAGACCTTGGGCACCCCAGAGAGCCCCAAACCCCTCCCTCACACCCCACTGCAACACAGACCTTGGGCACCCCAAAGACCCCCCAACACCTCTCACTTACAGCCCAATAAACAGACCAACACAGACCTTGGGCACACCAGAGACCCCCCAAAACCCCTCCCTCACAACCCACTGAACCAACAGACCTTGGGCACCCCAGGGAGCCCCAAACCCCTCCCTCACAACCCACTGAAGCAGCAGCACAGATTCTGGGCACTCCAGGGGCCCCCAAACCCCTCACTCACACCTCACTGAACCAACAGACCTTGGGCACCCCACAGACCCCCCAAACCCCTCACTCACACCTCACTGAACCAACAGACCTTGGGCACCCCACAGACCCCCCAAACCCCTCACTCACACCTCACTGAACCAACAGACCTTGGGCACCCCACAGACCCCCCAAAACCCCTCCTCACACCTCACTGAACCAACAGACCTTGGGCACCCCACAGACCCCCCAAAACCCCTCCCTCACAGCCCAATAAACAGCAACACAGACCTTGGGCACCCCAGGGAGTCCCAAAGCCCTCCCTCCCAGCCACTGCACCCCCAGCCCTTGGGGGCTCTGCTGGGTGCCGGGGACGATCCTCCCCGGAGGTTTCCCAGGGAATGGGGAATCCCTACCTGTGTATCCAGCCAGGGCAGCAGCAGGAATGACGGGCTTGTCCTTGTTCATGTCGGCCCGATCCCGAACATAGTCCTTGAAGGTGCCCTTGGGCTTGTGGCTGGGCAGGGTGGCGGGATAGTCCTCGGAGTCGAAGCTGTCGTAGGACGGGACGCGCTGCAGGCTCTGGAAGGAGGACTGGCTGCTCCAGGACTGCGTCAGCCGGTCACAGCTGTCGTAGCTCTCGATGCTCTCGAAGGAGTCCTGGCCTCCCAGTTTGCCTGGGGAGCAGCAACAGCAGGTGAGGGGTGATGGGCAGCACACGAGCTTCACCTGCCTGCTGGGCGGGCACCTGGGGCTGCCCCACCACCCCTCAGCTCCCAGGGAAGGGCAGCCTGGACCTGGACCCATCATTCAGACCCCTGGAAAACTTCAGAGAGAGACAGAGGCAAACCCTCAAATCCTGCCTCTCTCTCCCCAGGGCTAATGCCCAGGGCTGACTGGAAATGATCCTCCTCTTTCAAAAAGGCAACATCAGAGAAATAATTCACTTTACATATTCCAGACTGAGTTCAGGTGCCTAAACATGGGCACTCCAGGGCCTCTTTATTCAGAGGGTGGGGAGGCCCTGGCCCAGGTTGCCCAGAGAAGCTGTGGCTGCCCCTGGATCCCTGGAAGTGTCCAAGGCCAGGTTGGACAGGGCTTGGAGCAACCTGGGCTAGTGGAAGGTGTCCCTGCCCACAGCAGGGGGTGGGAATGAGATGAATTTGAAGGTCCCTTCCAACCCAAACCATTCTGTTACTTCATGATTTCTATGATTCTCTTCCTGCTGAAGGATATGGGGGTCCCCAATAAATCCCCTGTTCTCTCTGCCAGCCCCATACAAACACTGCCCAGGCCCATCCACGGGCACTGCACCAGCTCCTTTACTTTTGATGTTTCCTCCAGAACTCCACAGCAGCCCTTTCTTGCCATATGTTACAAGCAGCTTCCACCCCCAAATCCCCAGGGAGCATCAGATTTGATGGAGGAGGAGAGCAAAGGGCTGAGAGCTCAAGCAGCTCTTTTCCCAGTTCTGGTAAGGTGAGCACAGCTGGATTGTATCAAAGCTGCTCTCTGGGGTATTTTTAGTAAAAACCAGAACATGAGAGGCCAGATCCTCAGCAGTGCTGATTTACACCCACTGAAGACAGCAATGCACCCTCTGTACTTAAAACAGAGCTAAAAAAGGAGCCAAAGAACAAGCTGAGGCTGCTCCTCTGATCTCCCTTACGCTGCTGATTGCTCAACATCTTTCCTGACAAACTACGAGCGTAACAGGATCATTCAAGTTCACTAATTTCCCAAACCAAGCTAAAAACAGCTGCTGGGATTGTGCAAGAGCTCCTGGAGAAATTTCCATTGGCAGAGCTACCCACAGCCTGGGCCTGGACAGTGGATCCCAGGGGAAGGGGAACGTGGAAGGGTGCTGGCACACTCCCGAAATAGTTGTTGTGTTGTAGTTTGAAGAGCACTTGCTGTGAAAAGACTCAACTAATGAAGGCTCTGCCCTGATTGCTGGCCTGGAATCCTCAGATGTTTGGATCCATTGGTATATCCATGTTTCAAACTCACTTTTGGTTTTATGCCTTTTATTTTTTTTGAGAATTCCACAGGATACACTTCAATGCTTTCCTGAATCCTGCTAAAGGAGAACAACACTGCAGTGTGTGCACATTAATTGGCATAACCAATTCCCTGAGCAGTCCTGCAGCACGACCTCACTTAGAAAAGGACTTAAGAACCTGACAGGGATGTGGTTTGTATCAATCCATTGAAAATTCACCTCAATTTGGCCTAACTGAAAAAGCCAAGCCTTGCACTAGCCCAGGAAAAGCTTAGAAGAGTTTGACAGCTCCACTTTCTAGGCAGGAGCCCTCTCTGAGATAAGGCAGAGTGAAACAATTCCCATGGGACCACAGAATTCACTCCTAAAGCCCCCACAAAAGACAATTGACTGGCAAACCCTCTCCCTGAGTGATGCTCAAGGGCCTGACTTTGTGAGAGACTCAACTTCTAAGATAATGCAAGGTAAAGACAGACATAAATCTAAATTAACTGGGCTCTGCTTTCTATTAAAGCTTCTTTCCACCCTTCTGGGAGGATTTCTGCCACCAAAGGCCCTTTCCAGGGCTGAAATGTGTGTTAGTGTGAGCACAGCCTGTTGGAATCATTCTATCAAAGTCTTTGCTAACAACAGCATTAAGGGCTCTTTCCTCCCTCCCCTGAAACCATTTTTAGGTTTGCCACTGAGCACAGGCCCAAGGTACAGTTGCAAAAGCCTTCCTGGATCATTGCATTTCGAGGAGAATTATGAAATCACCTGTGTCAGAGAAAAGGTCGAGAAAAGGGAAAGGCACTGAAAAACAACCACAGAAAGAGGAATTCACCCAAAATTATAACTCTGTGCCCTCCTGGCTCACCCAGGTCACCTCTGCCAGAAGGAGAGGTAATAATACAGATAATGACTTCCCTGACAGACTGGAAGAAGAATGGGAAGCTGCAGCTGAGCTGCTCTGAGCTGAGATGTGCAGAGCAGAGCTGCAAAGGGGAGGCAGCACCTCCCCAGCTCCCAGAGCTGAGAAAGGGTTTTAAATGTTCCACATCCAGCCTGGCTCACAGCAACACATCCCCACAAGGAATTTGAGGCTTGGGGACACCTGGATTCTATTCAGGGGGTGGTGGCAGGTCAGATCCCTTCCCTGTGCCTCAGGTTCCCTACCCGGAATCAGGAGACAATGAAGCCCCTTTGTCGGTGACTTTGAGCTCTGTGGGTTCGGTTTTTGCTCTGATGGAAGTTGGGAGCACCTGCCCCTCACCCTGCACCAGGTGAGGTGGCTACAAAGCACTGGGGCAGCTGGGCCCCATGTGTTCTGAATTTAATAATATTAACTGGAAAGGTATTTGGGCTCAGATCCTCCAAAGTGCTCAGGTGTTTAAATCGCATCACCTCAACCAGGAATCATGTACCTCTAACTCTTGGGAGATGTCAGGCTGTAGCAGGAGGATTCAGGGGGTCTTTCAGCTTTGCTGCTGCCTCAGCCCCTGACATCTGCACCTCCTGACAAAGCCCAGGGCTTGGATTCAGCAGAATATCCATGGGATAATGGACAAAGACTTTGGATCATCGAGTGTAAAACTCTTCAGAGCCCTTGACAGTAATTCCTGATGAGAACTTGTGAAGAATTTGTGGGGTTTTGCCTGATCTTCTAAAAAAATGGGATTTATACAACCACCAGCAGTTTGTCCTCCCCAGTAGCTTTAAAGCTTAAAAATTTCACCCGAGTTTGACATCAAAGCCCAGCGCCAGAAATGGCACATTTTTGCAGATGTTGTAAAAACAGGCAGTGGAGGAGAGAAAAGAAAGACCTTTTTCATGTTTTCCCTGGAGGAGAGAAAAGAAAGACCTTCTTCAAGTTTTCTCTGGGAAGAAAGGCAGGGAGGGCTCAAAGCCACCAGGGGATCCAGCTCCAGAAGACACGTGTTGGGAAAAGGCTCCCTGGGGACATCTCCCAGGGGAGGGAAGGCAGCACGGATGTTGTTACAGGGAGAACAAGAAGAAGGGCATGGTCTGAAGCTGTGCCAGGGGAGGTTTAGGTTGGATATTAGAAAGAATTTCTTTCCAGAGAGGGTGCTCAGCCATTGGAATGGGCTGCCCAGGGAGGGGGTGGAGTCCCCGTCCCTGGAGGTGTTGAAGGTGAGACTGGATGTGGCATCAGTGCCATGGGCTGGGAACCACGGCGGGGTTGGATCAAGGGTTGGATTTGATGATCTCGGAGGTCCCTTCCAACCCAGCTGATTCTGGGATTCTGGGATTCTAAGTCAAGCAAACCCTGGGTTTGGCCCCAGCTTTACCTCTGCTGGCACGTCCCATGCACATGTTGTCTGGTGTGACCACCTCCTGCTTGATGCTGAAGTAGTCTGTCTGCAGGGGGTCCGCGGGCAGCGGGTCCCGCAGGATGACCGAGGGATAGTCGCTCTCGTACTTGAGGGACAGCAGCTCCTCGGAGCTGATGGGGTGCAGGGTCTGGTAGGACTCTGTGATGAAGCTGGGCTCCGAGAACTCCGAGGGAGGCACACACTGGGCGTGTTCAATGCCATAACCTGGGGGCAGAACAGCAACGTCAGAAACGGTCCCGAAAGCTCAAAGAAACCCGAGCAGCGCTCGGTCCCTCTCCAGCCTCCCCATCCCCAGGGAGACCTGCAGTGCCTGTGGATATAAAACACCTGGAACAGCTGGGAACTAGTTTTGGGAAAGGTTTCTAAAAGCTACAGAGGTGGTTTCTAAAAGCCTTTTGGCTGAGGTTTCTAAAAGTTTATCCTGTCCTATAAATGCAGTAATTTAACAAAATCAGGCTTCCTCAGCCATCACCAATGTGCTTCCCTCAAGCAGAGCTGCCAGAGGGAAAGAGCCGGAAAATCAGGAAGAACGGAATCTCACAAAGGAGATATAGGGCAAAATGGTTTCATTGATGACTGTAACAGGTGAACCATTTCCATAGTCCCCTCTCCTCACTGGCCAGAGCCTGGAATCCTGATTCTCTGAATCATGGAATCACGGAATCATGGAATCCCAGACCAGTTTGGGTGGGAAGAGACATTAAAGACCATTCTTTTTCACCCCCTGCCACAGGCAGGGACACCTTCCACTAGCCCAAGTTGCTCCAAGCCCCATCGAACCTGGCCTTGGACACTTCCAGGGATGGGGCAGCCACAGCTTCTCTGGGCACCCTGTGCCAGGGCCTCCCCACCCTCCCAGGGCAGGATGTCTCCCTAACACCTCATCGAAATCTCCCCTCTCCAGGTCAGCTGGGGTTTTTAGCTGGTTCATGAAATACCTCCCAGATTTCCAATCTTCTTCCAGAACATCTCCAAAACAACAGCAATGGGAAGTGCAGCAGTGCAGACTGAGGACTCATCCCTTTCCTTGCCAGGCTCCTTCCTAGCAATCCAGAATCAAGCCTTCTTCCCCCATTCCCTTCCTTTTTAAATATGTTTTTAACAATTCCCAGTACTCAGGAGTGATGAGGTCTCTTTCAAGGTCTGCTGAGCTACAAACGAACATCACTTGCAAAATCAGACCCCAAAAATACAGATGGCTCCTAAATGAACCCTCAGCCCAACACGACTTTGCACAAGTCCTCATGTGATGCAGACAAATCTCTCCCAGGAGGCACTTCCATGCCTGGAAGCACTGGAATGACACTGCTCACTGAGACTTACTAACGAAGTAGTCGGAGGTGTAGCGGGATTCGGGATACGTTGTGTTCGCTCCGTTTGCTGGGTATGGTTTTACCTCTTCTGCAAAGAGGAAAGGAAGGAAATGTCACACACTTGTGCTTTGCAAGACTTGTTGTAACACAGAGAGGTCTGAACTTCCTGAAATGCTCCTCTCTGGGTTAAACTGGGACGTTCAAAGGAACAGAAATTAATTAAGAGCTGAAATCCCACAGAAACTTGATGCACTTTGGGAATTCGTGCTGCAGGTATGGCCAGATTTAAAGCAAAACAACCCGACCCAAAGAGCAACAACTTTCTCAATCAGAGGCTCCAGGTGGTTCTGAAACACCAGTTGCATCATTTCCTTGCTTGCCTTGGTCTTTGTTGTCTTCCATCCTCCCGAGGGTTGCTGATCACGCTTCCATGTGTGAGCTCCTGAAAAACCTCACCTTACAAGGGCAGTTGTTTCCCTGAAACCCCCTATTTTTAGACCAGCAGTAGGTGTGTGCAAGGGCGTGGGTAACACATACCAAACCCAGCTCCTCTAAGCCCTAATTAATGCTAATTCCCAGCCTATGCAGCACCTGATGCAGGGAGAACATTCCACATCCAAAAACGCTTTGTCCCACTGTCCATGACCCAACTCCTGGCCCAGACTCCACTGTGTATGTGTGGGCAGGATGCCAAATTTTAGCCTCTCTATAGGCATAATTCACTGGGAAAGAGCACAGAGCACATCAAAGCACAGATTCCCTGCTCCCTGTTGCTTTTTCCAAGCCTTTCGGTGCTCCCGGGCTTGGCGCTGGATTTGCTTTCCCACACAAAAGCTGCTCCTCCCCCGAGCAGTTTTTCCATGAACACCTTTCTCATTCCAACATGGCATTGTGGGCACAGATCCTGGCACGGGAGATTTTCTTTCCTTTGCAGAGGGCAACCAAAACAAACCCCCCCGGGCAGCTCTGGGCTGGGTTTGTCTCTGCCGAGGCTCAAGAGGAGCCGAGCGAAGACAACGCACGTTCGCTCGCGAGGAGCCTAATTTTGGTCCCCTCTCCTGGGGATTGCAGGGTGGAAAATATTCCCTAACAAAAGGAGGGTTTGTACAAACACAGAGAACTAATGAGAAAAGCTCTTTTGCTGTCCCCGTGGTGGTTGCCAAGGCACAGGGTGGGTGACCACAGAGCAGGAGAGCAACCTTGGGCTGCGCTCGCACTCACTGCTGGGAACCGAGGGGGTTATTTTAGGAAGAAATTTGGGAAAATACGCCTGAAAATACCCAAATCCAAGCAGGGAAAAGTGGCCCATCTGCTACCTTTTTATAACCCTGAGCAGTCTGTGGTAGGTGAGTCACTCAGAGCTCCCAGGGGAGGTCAGCCCAGGGGACAGCGAGGTCACAGCGTGTCCCAGCGCGACCCCGGGGACAGGGGCAGGTAAAGCCAAACATTTTGGGGTTAACCACCACCCCCAGCACCAACACCCCCAAGGGATGCTGGTGGGTGGATGGGGAGGATGGAGAGACAAGTTTGACCCTGATCTCTTCACACATCCCATCCCCAGGAGCAAAGTGCAGCCCCCCAACTCCTCCTGGCTGGGGAAAGACCTGGCAGGGACAACTTTGCACCTTCTGTTCGTGCAGCACCAGCACAGCCCAGGCCTTGGCAGGGGTTGGAGATGAGCTGCCACTGACACGAGCCCTGTGGCCCACAGGGAACAGAAACCAGGCCCCAGAGTTATTTCTTAGAAGTCCTTGGTTACACCCCAAACACTTCACAGATATTGCCCTGCTGGGAAACGTGCTCAGAACCCACCAGAGGAGAGAGGGCTCAGCTTGTGCAAGAGGGACAAAGTCCCCAGGAAAGCCAAACACAGAAAGGAGATTTCTTGGTTCCCAGGGCTACACTAAAAGTGTGGAGACACTCAGAAATTCAGCTTTATCCTTTTCCTGCCTTTTGGAAGAAGAGTTACAACAGGAGCAAAGGTTTCCAGCTGCTTTGTGAAAGCTCCTGGCTATCCCAGACCTTTGGTATCCTCAAGACTGCAGTGTCTGAACACCCTGGTGTTTGTCAGTGCTATATGAAAACATGATTCCCACTTTCCTGTGGAATTACAGCTCCAAGTTCATCTCCACGTGTGGGGAATCTACAGGAAGGAGCTGCACGCCCAGCTCTGATGCCTCAGCCAGTACCTGCAGCACAACCCATCCCTCTCCAGTGAGTTATAGCCCCCAAAATCACAGAATTACAGAATCACCAAATGGTTTGGGTTGAAATGAGCTTAAAGATCATCTTGTTCCACCCTTCTGTCACCTCCAGGGACACCAGGAAGGTTGTGGGAAGGTACAAGGAATGGCTCATAGCAAGGAGAAATGGGCCTGACCACAAGGTTTTGCTCTGTTTGGTTAAAGTACCTGCTGTTGATATAAGCACTCAACAAAAAACAAGCAAAAGAAGAACAGCCCAGATAAAGAGTGAGACAGCAGAAAAACAGCCTGTCCTCCCCAGAGCCTGTGTTTACCTTCTGAAAACCACAGGTAGCAGTAAAATTAGTAATTGGCAATTAGCAGCCATTTGTCAATGGTTTCCTGGAAGGAATAACTGTGCTCCCCCTCCCCTTCCTGCCACCAGGGTCAGTAGGACAGTACAGGGGATGTTCCAGGAAAGCAAAGAGCTCTGCACAAAAAGGAGCTGGAAAAGGAGCCCGGGGGCTGCTGCTCCTGCTCATGGCCCAGGCCAAGGTGTTCAGCTCTTCTCCTGCTCTTTGGAAACAATCCCAGCATTTCCTGAAAATCAACAGCCAAAATCAACCTGTGTGTCCCCAGCCAGTGACAACTGGATGCTGTCACACAAGGACTGGCAGAGATGGCTTCTCCTCCCAAAAATGCCATTTTTGGGATGTGAAACACCCTTTTTGGGACATGAAACACCTTTTTTGGGACACAAAAGAAAGCAAAGCAGCTTCCAATCACCACTAGGAAACGAGGGTGGGATCTTGGCGGTGTTTTTGTGCCCAGTTCTCCTGGAGGAAGCACTAAAATTCACAACAGGAGTTGAACAAGCTGAGGAAAAATGCTCTGGAAAATCCCACCATGGATTCCAGGCAGGCAGAGTGTCCCTGCCCATGGTGGGTTCCTGCCAAGCATCCGGCACAAACGCTCTGCCCCTTTCAAGTAGTGCCAGGATTTGCTTTGCCCACTATCAGTGGGGATGCCCATTTGGAATCCTACTGGAAAGCTGGGCTTTGTAGGATGTTTTTCCTGGCATTAAAGGCCAAGGTGAACACTCAGTGCTCTTTGGAAAGCCCCAAAACCGGGCTGGCCGGGACAGTGGGAATCATTCCCTGCCGAGACTCACAGGCCTCACCTTTCTGCAGGATCTCCAGATGTTCCCAAAGGATGTCTCCCACAAAGTCAGGCGCCAGCTCCAGGAAGCACTCCTTGCCCAGGGCACAGAGGGCAGCTCCATTCATGCAGAACTTCTGGAAATCCACCTCCTTGAGGCTGAACTCGTTGACCGCCCACATCACCCAGTCCCGCACGTGCGTCTCCGTCCACTGCTGGGGATCTGCAGGAGGGATCCAAGAGTGAGCAACCACGAGCACCTTTCCCGGGAAAACAGGGCACAAACAGTGCTCCAGCTGCACAGCCTCAGCCCATGGAGACTGGCAGCCCACTGGCACCAGGGTGGGGAGGGAACACCACACCCAGTTTGGCTCAGCCCCATTGTACACATATTTCAGACAATCAGCTTTGGATTTGTTTGGGACTTCCAATAATCAAGGGAGTCAATTCTCTGACTCCCTTCTCCCACCCTTTTTCTCTGATTTTTTGGGTTCTCCCTGTCACCAGTTTGACTTGTTGTACTCCCTGCTGCTTCTCCCTATAGTGGAGATGACTTATCCACGTTTTTCCAGCTGAAGCTGCCGAGAAACAAGGCAATCCCACCTGAAGAGAACCAACAAAGGGATGGCGGACTTGGAGAATTCATGGAGAATTCCAGGCAGTCTGGCTGGAGGACACAGTCCCTGTGGATACCAGGGCTGCTCACGGGGAAGAGCCTGTCTCACCTTTGGGAATTCCCAGCCGCTGCTGCTCCTTGGCGAAGCCACTGAACGTGGCTTTCAATGCCTGGGACATCATTTCCTTGCTGCTGGGAGTTAATAAAGGCACATCGGCACATTCCATGTCTGCAAAAGAGCAGGAGAGAGAGATGGCCATGAGGACAGGAGTGGGAAAGGGGCCCGGAGTCATGCTGGCCAGGTGACACGGTGCACGTGGAATGTGCTGCTGGAATTGGACAGTGAGACCAAAGACCTTTCCTGACATCAACCTGCTGGGCTTCATCATCCCAGGAGTGTCTGGAGCCTGGGACAAAGCTGAGCAGCTCCAGACACCAAGGAAGGCAAAGAATCCCACACCAGGGTGAGCAAGAAAAGAGGGGAAAAAGCATCCCTGAATTCCCGCTCCATTGTCCCAGTCCAGAGACAAACAAGGGGAAAATTAAAGAGTTTTAGAAAATCCTTTATTCCAGAAAATTCTTCCCTGGGAGGGTGGGGAGGCCCTGGCACAGGGTGCCCAGAGAAGCTGTGGCTGCCCCATCCCCAGAAGTGTCCAAGGCCAGGTTGGAGCAACCTGGGATGGGGGGAAGGTGTCCCTGCCCACGGCAGGGGGAGGCACTGGATGGGCTTTAAGGTCCCTTCCAACCCAAACCAGTCCAGGATTCCATGATTCCATGAAAAAGGGAGCTGCCAGCAGGCTGAGAAAGGATGGGGAACCAGCAGAAAACTCATTTGAGGAGGAAGGGAAAACAAAGAGCTGGCAAATCCCTCATTAGCCCGGAGTTACATCATGCCTAGCCCGTGGCACCGAATGACAGATCCAGGGGAGTCAGGAAGGACGTGCAGCCACCCTATGGGAGAGAGGGGCCAGGCCAAGCCAGGCCTGCAGTGAGCCCTGAGGAGAAGCAAACCTCATCCTGCTTTTTTTTTTTATGCCTTTTTCTGATTTGTTTGGAAGGAGGTGGATATTTGTAGCCAAAGAGTTTCACAGACAAAAGCAACTGTTTGAGAAAAAAATTAGAATAAAGGTTTGGCTCTTTTTCCTACTTTATAAGTATTCCTGAAAAACATCTTTGATGGAGAAGGAAAGCCTCCCACAACCACCATCCCAAAAACTGAACTTTACCGGCCTCATATGGAAATCTTCCACCTGAGCTTGGTTTAGCACCGTAGCCTAGTGGAAGTTTTTCCATGAAAACTCACTGGAAAAACGATAACACAGGCAAACTCTTGGGTGTTTTCATGAATATCTGGACATGGACATGAAAAATCAAAGAATTCTCTGTTTTGTGGGAATGCCACCATGGATTTCCATGGCTCTAAGTTCGTTTCAGCTCTGATTTAATGAGCAAAATGCTGGTCAGTGCTTGTTTTAGACAATGTTGAGTGAATCCCTGATAAAATATGGATTCAAGGCTGGACACAGTGCTGCAGTCCCCAGTGCAGCAGAGCTGCTTCCCAGTCTGACCCAGTCTGGGGGTCCTGCTCCACTCACATCCTCCACAGCCAAACTCCTGGGCATCACTTCAAGGCCAAACAACACAATGTGGGGGCTTTTTTCCAAGTGGGAATCTCAGGGTTGGGCCAATAGGATTATTGGGCACTGGTGGAATCACCATCCCTGGAACTGTTCAAAAGACATGTGGATGTGGCACTTGGGGACGTGGTTGGGTGGTGGGATGGCAGTGCTGGGGGAATGGTTGGACTGGATGATCTGGGAGGGCTTTTCCAACACAAATGACTCTGTGATTCCATGGATAAGCTCTGTAGCACAGGGTGAGGGTGACCGTGACCAAAGCAGCCCCAAATCATCCTCTGGATGCAATGAATGCAGTTCCACTGCCAAGCCAAACAGAGCAACTCCTCTGCCTCCATTTCTGCCCCTTCCACCTCTCAGCCCCCACTAAAATCCAGGCTAAAATCAGCCCTTCTCTTTAACCCCCTCCCACCTCAGTCACCAAGGCACTCAAGGAATGATTTGCAGACTCTTTGCTCAGGCAGGACCAGTAAAATTCCTGACCCCAAGTCTCTGGGGACCCAGTTCCTCCCCACATAAATCCAGGATTGCTGCCACAGTGGCAGCATCAGGACCTTCGAAAGCAAATCCCACATTCAAGGGCTATTTGGCAAATTACACTTCATTATTTACTGGATTTGGCTGGAGAGGGCACGGAAAAATGAGCAGCCACCCTTGTTATCTCTGTTCCCCATCTGCTGCCTCGAGATAACACTGGGAGAAAGTGGTTCAGTGCCCCTTTCCCTTCATCCTCATGTTACATTTTAATGCTTTGCTTTCTGTGGTTTCAGGGACCACCCAGGAATCCCTCCCCTCCTTGCCTGGTTAAACAGCAGCTCCTGCTCCCGCCTGCCATGGGAAGATGAGTCAGAGTCGGGCTGAGAAAACAGTTCTAACCCCAATTTTTACACTGAATCACTCGTGAAAACCTGTGTGGAGGTGACTTCCTTAGGCGAGACACCACGAGCAGGGCGAGGGAGGTGAAAAAACGTGGGTTTATCTCTGCAACAGCAAATATCTCTCCCTGATCCCCCCTGTTTTCTCCTGCAGGGTCCGTGGGGTTGGGCTTGTTCAGACCCAGAATCAATTTTTCAGTAGCGGGGGGATAAGGTTTCGGTTTAGGAAGGTGAACGCTGAGCTCTGCACAAACAACATGTCAAAACAGGGGAGACTTAAAAGTGATTCCCGGGGAGAGGTCATGGAGAAGCAAACAGTCTGTTTTCAAATAAAAAAAAACCCCATGCCAGAGGAGGGTTTCTATTTAAACACCAAAAGCAGCCCAAATGTGCATTTCAAGGCTTCTCCTTGAAGACATGTTGTACTCGGCAGATTTAGGGTTGAAACATCATCTATTTTTTCCTGTTAAATCGTAGCTGCTTGTTCACATTTCTGCAGAGGACAGAGCAGCCCCAAAGCCCTGAGCCTGCAAACGCTCCCTGAAGCCTTGGTTTGGTCAGCGGGGTCCCACAGCTCTGTAAAACTCTGTAAAACTCACATGGGTAAAACCAAACGTGGGTGAAAAGCTCTGCAGACGTGTTTGTGGGCAAGGCTTGGCTTTGTGACCTGAGAAACACATGAGGGATGGAGAGTTTTTAATCTAAATTCTGTCTCTGCTGGTTTGGAGATACTGAAGTTACTTAAATATCCTTTTCTTTGTTAAACCCTAAGTGTATGAGGAGCATGATGGGCTTCACCCAGCTCTGCCTGATGTAACTTGAGGTGTTCTGTGCAAGGCCAGGAGTTGGACTGGATGATCCCTGTGGGTCCCTTCCAAACAATTATAATTCCATGAGCTTTGCTGGGTGCTGGGTGCATGGGGAGTTCCTTCCCATGGAGGAGAATCCAGCCTTGGCGATGTCCTCCAGCCATTCACCTCCAGTTTGGGATTCCTAAAGCTCAGAGCACAGCACAGCTTCGGGAATAAAAGCAACAAGCCGGGCTTAGCTCGCCTGGTTTCAGCTTTCCCTGCCATCTGAAACCTGTTTCCAAGAGTTTGATCAAATCTTGCCCAAATCAAACACGTCCCTTTGCGCCCCTCCTGCTGCCCACAGAGCACACACACCAGGGACAGAGCCAGCCCCGGGCAAACAGAGCACACACAGCACACACACACACCAGGGACAGAGCCAGCCCTGGGCAAACAGAGCACACACAGCACACACAGAGCACACACAGCACACACAGCACACACAGAGCACACACAGCACACACAGCACACACAGAGCACACACAGAGCACACAGCACACACAGAGCACACACAGCACACACAGAGCACACACAGAGCACACGCAGCACACACAGAGCACACACAGCACACACAGAGCACACACACACACCAGGGACAGAGCCAGCCCCGGGCAAACAGAGCACACACAGCACACACAGAGCACACACACAGCACACACAGAGCACACACAGCACACACACAGCACACACAGAGCACACACAGAGCACACACAGAGCACACACAGCACACACAGAGCACACACAGAGCACACACAGCACACACACAGCACACACAGAGCAAAACACAGAGCAAACCAGACACACACAGCACACACAGCACCACAGAAACACACAGCACACAGAGCACACACAGAGCACACACAGCACACACAGCACACAGAGCACACACAGCACACACACAGCACACACAGAGCACACACAGAGCACACACAGAGCACACACAGCACACACAGAGCACACACAGAACACACAGAGCACACACAGCACACACAGAACACACACAGAGCACACACAGAACACACAGAGCACACAGAGCACACACAGAGCACACACAGAGCACACATACAGCACACAGAGCACACAGAGCACACACAGAGCACACACAGCACACAGAGCACACACAGAGCACACACACAGCACACACAGCACACAGAGCACACACAGAGCACACACAGAGCACACACAGAGCACACACACAGCACACGCAGCACACACAGAGCACACACAGCACACACAGAGCACACACAGAGCACACACAGAGCACACACACAGAGCACACACAGCACACACAGAGCACACACAGAGCACACACAGCACACAGAGCACACACAGCACACACAGAGCAGACACAGCACACACACAGCACACAGAGAGCACACACAGCACACACACAGCACACACAGAGCACACACAGAGCACACACACAGCACACACAGCACACACAGAGCACACACAGCACACACACAGCACACACAGAGCACACACAGCACACACAGAGCACACACAGCACACAGAGCACACACAGAGCACACACAGCACACACAGCACACAGAGCACACACAGCACACACACAGCACACACAGAGCACACACACAGCACACACAGAGCACACACAGCACACACAGAGCACACACAGAACACACAGAGCACACACAGCACACACAGAACACACACAGAGCACACACAGAACACACAGAGCACACACAGCACACACAGAACACACACAGAGCACACACAGAACACACAGAACACACACAGCACACACAGAACACACAGAACACACACAGAGCACACACAGAACACACAGAGCACACACAGCACACACAGAACACACAGAGCACACACAGAGCACACAGAGTACACACA